AACTTGGAGATAAATTTAGGAATAATTGAAATTAATTGCGAAATCCAGCGAAAGTCACCCATGAAATAAAAATAATTGTTTGTACGGAAAGCACATCAAATTGTTTTTAAATTAGGTGGCAACAGAAGAATTATCGTTGAACTTTTAAAAGGTACAGACAACCCTCTCATCAACGTACTAATAGGGGGAGGGGGGCTCCGTTAAAGCCAATTGTCCGTAGATGGAAGAAGCTCTAATTTGTCACTGATACTTAGGTTTGTACTCTTCCGTTTTACACTTTCCTTCTGCTTCGATGCAATGATGAAGGAAGAACAATTAATATATTAATCAAAATAACAAAAATAATAGATTTCTCACAGCTAGTTGCAAACACACCCGTCTTTGTTTATAATTGAAAGGCCCTTTACCGCCGCCAAACGGTCACTTTGAGAACTAATACGACTCATTCCGCTAAGCCCGTAAATTTTGAAATACATCGCTAACAATTTGGAAGTTTTTTTCCGCCAGATTTTTTTTTGTGCAGATTTTGTCCGTTGCATCCAAAGTCCGATGATGTGGGGGGCGCTTTAGATGAGAAGTTCGTCTGTATTTAAATGCAGCGATCAATTTTGAGTTCTTCTGTAGTTTATTGTTGTCTATCGCATACGGCAGCAAAAAGAAATCTCCAGCAGAGGACCAGATTGCAGCGAGGAAAAGAAAGTCCCGTGCAAATGAAAACCAAGATCAAATCGCGGAAGAGCTTCCAATGCTGCGAATATACAAGGACTTTGAGAGTCCCTATGTCTTTGCGCTTAAACAGGCCGAAGCTTCAATCAAGAGCCTGCTGCAGAAGCTAGCTTAAATGCCGCCCGATAGCGTGGCTTTTAAGCTAGTAGAGGATAAAAGTACATTTTTCCCATGATACCAGCAATAAAGGAACCGGATGCCTTTTTTGTCATCTACGCAATTTTATGAACCCACTTCCGGAAAGAACAGAACCTATCTTGCAGACGTGTAACTTGGTCGTCCCAACACAGCGCAAAGCTAACTTGAACTCGACCATTTTAACCATCCTTATCCTTACTTACCATTACTTTTGGACCATTGAAAACGTGGTTTCCCTACAGTTACTATATAAAAAAGAATAAACAATCTATAGTAGAAACCCAAGTTTTTGTACACTTTTTCTTTAATTGTTTACATATCAACACGCACCCACCTACAATACACCAATAGACCACCTTTAAATTCCATAGACTCTTCTCAAAGTTATCTACAAAAGAACTCAATAAATCGTCTCTGATGAATATTAGCATTTAATTAATATATATCCTAAATCGATCCTTTATCTTTCCTATTTGTCAGCTTTGTTAACTCATTTAAAATGACTGAAACAGCCTTCGAAATGGAATACTTCCGATAACCAATATTTAACCTTAATGACCTGTGTATAAGATGCGTTTTGTTTTAGCAAATAGCAAATGAATATTTCCTTGCTGAAAACAATGCTTGTCTTATATACCATTATATCCGCTGTACCATCAAATACAGGAACAATCTAATCCACTAAGGCAAATTCGAAGATGGAGAAATAATTAAATTCCGCCCAATTTGGCGTTGTCCGTATTAAGCTTTTAGTAAATTGTGGTCTGCTTGGTGGCTAAGATAGTTATGCATTTCTAGTTCAGGTCCAGCACCAAAATTTCGAATGCTGATTTTTCTCACTTGGAAGATTGATGCAACATAATCTTACCATTTTCATCCTCCACCCTAATTTAGATTTGTGCCATACAATTAATCTAAGCTTAGGAAATATCAAGTTTATTTAGCTGTTGTTAGTAGATTCAATTTTCATTGAACGCCCCACACCTGTGATCTTCAGCAGGCTAACTAACTTCACAGTGTTTCAATAAGATTTCTCTCAAATGCGACACGATCTATAAGAAAAGAAGGATTTTTTTCTGTTAGAAGTGTTTTCCCTATTTACCGTAATTTCTCGAAAATAATACGCATTTTTTATTGTAAATTACAGGTGATAATAGGGGGTGCGTATTATAAATAGGTTTAAACAAAAATATTTTTTCGTTATTGATTTATAATAATAAATACATACTTGTTTTTGTAAATTAAGAAAGATATTATCCCAATTTTCATTTTAAATCCAACAATAATAATTGTAACATTTTTGTCAATAAATTTATGTTTATCAGTAATCTTATTTTTTATTTGGCGAAAAAATAAAAAAAATCTATAAAAAGGCCAATTTCGAAGAAAAGAGGATATCAAGTTAACATGGCTGTCGTGAAACAACATTTCTTGTTATATTTATCGGCAAAACCGCATGATAATTTTCAACATTATTTTAACCACTTAGTTTCGATTTTATTCTTAATGTCAAGGTCGACAAAATGTCTTCGTAATTTTTTTCTTTTGACAAAATTTATAGATGCGTATTATACATAGGGCTAGATATATTTCTTAATTTTTGGATCATTTGTTGGGGTGCGTATTATTTATGGGTGCGTATTATTTTCTAGAAATTACGGTACTTAGGTAAGTACATCACAATGACAGATGAGGGCGATAAACGAAAAAGATTGTGATGGTCCTATCCTCAAAATGAGAAGGCTTACGGCTATCTAGATTGAAACACCGGTTCCCGAACGATCAACGAAGATAAGCAACGTCGAGCCTGGTCAGTACCAATTTCAGTTTCAATTTCAGTTGGGTTCGTTATATTCACTTATGTGCAAATACCCTTGGGAAAGATAAAAATCCACCTTTTCTTCCCCAAGCTATGGGCTAATTAGTAAGACGTATCACTAAATCATTATTATCTGAAAAAAAATTCTTACGATCTGAAAATACTTTCTGCCTTAAATAACCAGCAAAGTGTTGATAAGCCGTAAAAAACGAATCGCTGAATTAATCAAAATGAGAAGAGACGGTCTGCGATGGAAATGAGAATTCGACGTTCGGGCTTTTTACCTGAACACAAACACCATTCATTGGCGCTGTTTGGGACTAAACAGCGATCTCAGCTCTACCAAGTAGACCCAACGGAAATTGTTTTTAATTTAAATTTCCTGACCTTTCAACCATTCGAGAGCATCATGTGAAGAGACATCGTGTTGCTAATTGTTGTCTCAAAAATCGTCTCGAAAGCGATCTTTTGAGCTGGATATGAAACAAGTTATGGGATTAAAATGATTCTAGCTATCACACACAAAGACGAGTCAAGTGTTAAAGCGAGGGTGGGAAAATCCTGCGGGCAGTGCCTCTCATTCGGGAGGAGGCTGGGATCTTTATTCGGTGCCTGAGACATAGGGGGGCTTGAGTAGTTTTTTTTTTTCACGGTATTGTCGTTAAAACTATAAAAAAAATTGTATATATTAAATATGAATGCTATGCCTAGCGGTTAGAACATTTGTTTTTCGTCCACAAAACCCAGGTTCGAATCTCAGAGATAGAGCATTAGGATTAAGATCAGTGGCGATTCTACAGGGGGAAGAAGGGTCCAATGGCCATCCCCAGAATTTTGGCTGGCCCCTCAGTTGCCCACTCCCCCTTTTCTGAGTTTTGTAGAGGAAAAAAAATCAGAGCAGACAAATTATATTGTTCTGCTAGTATTGACGTTAGTATTAACCCTTTGATTTTGTTTTGAAGTTATGATTAGGTGCTGAAATGTTTTCGTACTGATTCACTTTCCGAACTCTTACCAGAAATATTTTTAAGGAGTTCTTAGGCGGCCCAAAAACCTTTCAGCACTTTCTCATCTGTACAAGGCGCTAGTCAAAATTTCGGATAAATTATGCCCTGAAATATCTTCTCTTGCTTTTTGGAATAATTAAAAGAACGGATAAGTAACATTACAAATGAATACAATGATCGCTCTCTTCATATGCTCCAATTTTTTAAACTACACGTATATGCCTTGATTTATCCACTATCCTTCTCCTCATCCTTTCCTCTATCACTCCTATCTGATCTTGCTCCAAATCTTCTGTAACCCCTTGCGTCCTAGTGGCTTCTCGCCTTGCTTGGGGTGAAACGCTTAAAAAAAAATATCAGGCTTTTTTTTTTACCTAAACCATCGGTCCCCAATCTTTTTGCCCCACATACCGGGTGTCATGCAAGACAATGTTCTCACAGACCGCTGGGGATGGTGGAGGTGATCAATGTCGGCCACGCACATAACAAAATGCAATAAACAAGACCGCGATAGTCAAAAAAATGAAGGGGAAAAAAACAAACAACGCATAACATAGTTAGTGAGCTTGAATAAATGGATGGTGGAACAGGGTTTAGGAAAAATAACTGAAAGACAAAATTTATTAAGAGCTACAAAGGACAGGAAGTTGTGGAAAGCCATAATCGCCTATGTCCTGGGAGGGGGGGACACGGTACATAAAGAAGATGTACATGAGAGATCTCAGGAAGCTATCTAACCATTTTGACTATCTCGAGAACTAGTTGCACGGCTTTAAATGTAACTTAGTCAACCTTATGGCGAATGTGTAAAATAGACAGTCTCCCATCAGGTTATTCAGTCGGCAGCGAGATATCATTAAGTGATCTCATGTAGTGCGTAACTATTAAATTCACAATTGCCCAACAAGTAGATTCGTATTAAAAAAAACAAACAAAAAAAAAAGCACATAATACAAAATCAGTTAAAAATCATCGCATCCCTCAGGTCTGTTATCAACTGCCCTGTCTAGATTTGTCTCCTTAGAAATTCTGGATCTTCTCAAACTACAATTTGTTGTTAAAAAAGATTGGAGATACAATGAGGCAGCTGATGGCAATCCCGAAAGACAATTTTGAAAAGTTGGAGGGACGCTATGATAAATGTGTAAGATTCTAAAGCGAATACATTGTCGGTATAAAAACGCTATCGTCATAAATAGGCCGTTTTTCCTCATATTAAATATTTGGATACTTTTCGGACAGATCTTGTACATCATGAGATAATGTACCCAGTATTTTTTCTTCAAATACATATAAAGAGAAAAGATTACCTGGTGTGTAAGGCTGTGATCGGCGATCTCGATGCCGCGTCTGTGAAGTTTACGAATCATGCAGTAATCTGTATAGTTGTGAGACACAAACAGCGTCATTGCTATTGGGCAACCATTTGGGTTCTTTCGACTCCCATCGGCGGGGAAAAGCCTTGAATAATAACCCCAATTGTCCCAGTTAACCGCGTCATCGAATGCCAGCAGCACTATTTGGGGGATCTCTTCTGGATGGAAACCACCCGGTATGTTCAGTCCCGAACAACGGCAGTCTGGTACTGTGCAACTCGTCGGATCGCAAGATTGCTGACTCGAGCCTTGTAATTGGAATGACAATCCGTAAAAGAGAGCAAAGATAATATAGAATTGGTAACTGAAAGACTTAAGGAAAATCATTGTATTTATAGGTGGATTCATTGAATTTTTCACCAACCTCTGGCCTGACGAGTCTTTCCTGGAAAAGGAAGATTTTGTTTTAAATTTGAGAATTCAGCAGTTATTTGGGAAAAAAGTGTTAAAAAAAAGATAGTTTATCGGCTGAAAACTAGTTGTGTCTGAAATCAGAATGTATTATCAAAAGCTGACTTTAAGAAAATCGCTTTGTGGAAAAATAATTTTTTTTTTCAAATTATTATTCTGTTTTTTTTTTTCCGTCTCTCTTTTTTTTGTAATATTCCGGTATACGAATTACAAAAGCTGGTGTTCTATAACTAAAAAAAATAATCCTTTTCAGTAGTCAGTATTGTTATCCGAATTGAATAATCTGCAGTTGATTTGAAAAAAATCTTCCCGAAATTACGTTCGAATCAGATTTTAGAATTGTTCCAACTAAGAAAATGTAGATTTTTCTTTTTCCTTCCCACAAATACCACAAACTGAAGAAAAGAAAAGCTTTTGTTTTCGTCTCGGTTTACAAAAGATCATCACCCGCTGTAGTAGTCATAAAATCAACTTTCAAAAACATTCAGATTAGGCGAAAGAAAATAATGAAGATCCTCGCCTCGTTGTTTCTTGAATGGTTTTTATGTGGAAAAAAAAAGCACTGTTATGTCTAAAAGGACTTTAAAAAGAAAAACTGATTATGTTCTGTGTACATCTATTTCAGAGTACATCCCCCACCAAAAAAAAAAAAAAAGACCAAATAACCTCATTTGTTTAAACCTCAGTGAAAGCTAAAGCTGAGTCACGCAACAAAACTCGACATTAAGAAGTGTGTGTCGGGGAAGAGGAGATTCATAAAAAAAAAGATTTTTTTAGGGCAACCTGGCTCCAAATCAACGAAACAATAAAATTTAAACATGGTTTTATTCAAATTTAAATTATTTATTTAGAGAGTTATATATTCAGTAGCATGCAGAAGTTGGGGCAGAGGGTGTGACGGCCCTGGGCATCCATATCGGGAGGGCATCCAATCAAAGAGTGAAATAAAAATTTAGTGTGTAGAATGTTGATTAGAACGTCGGGTTGACCAATTGTAGAATGTATTATTACTTCTTGACTCTTGAGTGTTGTGGTCACCAATGTTGAATGGGTTAATGTGGCTGCGTGTTGAGAACGTAATAAACATTCATACATAATATTTAAAACATCAAGGAAAAAACAATGAGAACCAATTTTGTTTAACGAAGAAATATATGTATATTAAATTCAACAATAATACAAAGTAGTTGTAATATGAGTGAAAAAGAGAGAAAAAAGTAGCTTACCCTTGACTGTAAGGAAATGTCTTAAAGAAGATTTGTTTGAGTAAAATGTTCAGAGTTCAGTGTTGAAAATAGAATATTTCTTTCAGAAAATTGTTCAGTTGTTGCAACTTACAGAATTGATTTAACTTGGTGTGTCCACTGAGAACTGGTAGTGTATCAAATGAAGTTCTGTATTGTGTATGTACGTGCGAAGTGAGTAAGATAAAATACACGAGCGAGTAGATGAGATCTATTGTCTCTGGGTACACTCGACTGTGGTTCTGGAACTACTACTACTGGTTCTTAGGAATGCATCCAATATTTATACTACCTAGGGTGGCTCCCAGCAGAGACGCTGGATATATTTTTGAATATACATGAAAAATATCCGATTGGACGGAAACTGGACCAATCAGCGATTTTGTAGCAAAGCTTGTTTTTGAACAAAGTGTAGGAACAAATTTACTATGGTGGAATGCGATAGATAAATTGTCCTGTTATTTTTTAGTATGTATTTATTGACCAATTAGAATTAGAGAAAATGTAGGCGTGGCACTACAAGTGTATATTTAATTTGAATAAAGCGTTTATTTAATGTTCCATCTGTTTTTACATATTTAAAATGTCTTCCTTTCTCACATTTCTCACTGCTCTGCCCTATAGGCCTCTCTACTTGAGCCTTAGAGGCATAAAATCAAGGTGTTGGCCCCAGGCACCACCAAACCACTGCACATCTCTGCCTGTACTAGATAGGTCTTGGATGAGGTAGTTGCGAATCCTCCTAGTAGGTAAGCAAGGCCCTTGCGTAACACAATCTTCTATTTTGCATTGTGCTGTACTTAGTTTATTAAATATATATACAAATTGCGATATTTAGTCAGCTTGTCTTGTAAATCACTTCGTCCAATGAATTCGATAGATAGGTACAAGACGTTGTTCAGTTTTCTTCAAGGGTGATACTCCTCCGGCAAGACAACCTCTTAATTTAATCAAACCACGTAGATCGCGAGCGCACACATACACACGCACGAGACCACTACCTCTAATCCCATAAATGTTTCCTTTCCCTTTTCGGATTTGTCTATCTGTACACACAAGTATTTTCTTTCCTCTTTTGAGCCATGTTCTTTGTATAAATATTTTAAAAACCCACCGCATGTTGAAATTGTTTCTTTTGAAATTTTCCTACCTCTCCCCGCTACACTACTGCTTAAATAGTGGAATAAAGTATTGGTATGTGGACTTATCGGTTTCAAATCCAACTATCGGCTGTTAGACATTTCGCGCTAATATACTTAATAAAGTTAAATACCTTTGAACCCCGATTCGTATTAATGTTTACGACACAAGGTCATAACTATCGAGCAACCAGTGGCTTTTATTTTAAAATTGATGGCAACACACTTTTTAATCGTTAGCCCGTTACTCAGGCGACAAATGTAACTTAAGATGATACAATTTTCGTATTTCAGTTTTTAAAAATTTCCTCGTTGTCATTAATTCCCTCTGCATACTGGCTCTATCTAACAACCCACTCAAGTAATACTGTAGAGGACCGTGGGGGTTTGAGTGTTGTTAAATTAGGGACACGTGATGTTTATTCCTGCTAGAAGGTCCAACTCCAAGAAAATGCCGGACTCAAATTGAGTCCATCCGAAGATGTAAAGAAAACAAACAAGACCGATATATATATGTCAACAAATTTACAAGTGACAAAGACATTAATATTTGTGTTTGTGTGTGAACATTTGTGTTTGTTCTTTGGTGAATGTTCGTACGTACGTGTATGTGTATTTAATGACGTTTTCCCATAAGTGGGCAAAACGTGGATTTCTACGAGAGATTACATTTTTAAATGTGTCCGCTGAAATGCAAAGTGAAAAATAGAACGAGGCAAGAAGTCGCCCAGTATTTATAGTGTAGAGACAGCGACCCCTAGTGAACAATTAGGGAACTAAGGAGGAGCTAACTCCGACAGTACTTCCGGCAGAACATATTTATGGTGTAAAGGAAATACTACTACATCTAATACTACTTTTTCTACCACTTTTATTACTAATAATAATGGAAAATAAGTTCACCGGAAAGACCCCTTCCTGCTTCCCATCAGCATGGCTGTGACTGGCCTCCATGAGAGTGACTTGTTGCGCCTTCTCGAGCTGACATTCTCGGCTAACATGAAGTGGAAAGATTATATTGAATCCATTGCTAAATCAGCTGCTAAGAAAGTTGGTTCACTGGGTTGCGTTAGACAATTTTTCTCTCCTGAATCTATCATACAATATTTATAAGTTACCCATTCGTCCATGTCTCGAATGTTGCTGCCACATATGGTCCGGTAATCCTGCTGTATATTTAGAGATTCTTGATAAAATCCAAAGAAGAATTAACACTATTATTCGTCGTGACCTGGCGTTATTTCTTCAGTCAATTTCCCATCATCGTAATGTAGTTTCCCTGTGTCTTTTCTATAAATACTTTTTATGGTAATTGTTCGGTTATAGTAGCTAGACTTTATGAATTTAAGCGCAGTACTAGACTGACGAAGCGTTTCATCCATTCACAGTTGGCTAGATGTAACCGTAAGTTCTATGCTAATATATTCTTTTCTAGTAATTCTCCAGCGCCGGATTTAGAACAAATGAGGCCCTGTGTTAGTTATGTGGCCACTGAAGGAGGTAAGCTCGGCATGCCTACACAGGCATAGAAGGAAGATGGAGCCACCTAGTCAAGTCCTTAAACACACCTCAGAACCACAATAAATCTGGCACTGCACTTCTCGCTTATTGAACTCTCTTCTGGCTCTATGCTTTCTAGCCAATGTCAATCGTTATCAACTGTTTTCGTGATTACTCTTCTATTGTTCTTTCTTCTTAATAATGTTCCATTTTTTTTCTTATTCTTTCACACTCAATAACCCCTCTCAGTGGCTTTACTGCCTTGCATAGGGTGATATGATTAAAAGAAAACAGTAAAGGTTAATGATGAAGAAAATTAATAAGTTCCAACAGTGGAACTCTATTCCGTTTACTTGCTTCCCTGATAACTACAATCTTCAAAAATTTAAATACAACGTTAACCGCCATCTTCTGTTGTCCTGAACTCCGTTCATCTGTTATCCTTTCCTCAATGTTCTCTCCTTATTTTCCGTCTTTTCTCTCACTTTCACTCTATGTAACCCCCTGCGTACTAGTGGCACTCCCGCCTTGCTTGGGGTAAAATGATTAAAAAAAAATAGAAAAAGAAAGTATTAAAGCAAGGTTTAAGCACATTTTTTGACTTCACCTTCAGCTCAGACAGACATGAACCAAAGATGTTGATTGCCTAAAATGAACCAATCACCACCTCGTCCCGGTTATGACAATAAATTACACCCGACAGGAGATTACTGATCGGACGATTTTGAGGAATGTAGAACCGCCTCCTAATTGCTGTTATTCCCAGGTTCACCCTGACCTGGAGTGGTAGCACCTACTAGGATCCCAGCTATGGGACCCTAGCAGGTGCTACTATAGTGAACGCCCAAACTGGGGTTAAAACATAATACATTTTCATAGTAAAAAAAAGGAAAATACCAATAGTAGTAGAAAAATGATCAAAGCTCACAAGAAAATAAAATTTCGACATTAAATGAGCCATAAGGAGTTGACGTGCCGTTAAACAAACCAAACCTGACCAAACCAATCGCCACCCTAATGAGAGCCCGCGAAAGTTCGAGATTCACGCCAATTTTGAGAAATCTTTCTCACGTTTCCCGCCGGACACCACAGAGGAAGGATGCCAGAGAACGAAACTGATACTACCATATGATATGGCGCCCCCCCACCAAATTCTTCTTTTCATACTATGCTAACAGAAAGAGTATAACCAAGGAAAATTATAAGACTGTCATTCCACAATTAAAAAAAATAACCTCGAATACACACACACACACCAATTATAAGTGTACATATATTAATAAATGATTTTATTGTAAACCATCTTCACTTCAATGAGTGGTTTATTATTTCATACAAACATTAAAAAAAAAATTCCCTTCACAGACTCCAGAAAATGTCACGTTTTTAACGCCATTTATTCTCTTTGTTTACTGTTCCACAAAGAGAACGACGCCATTGTAAAATTGACATTCCTTGGGATTTTTCAGACTGTTGCATGTTACTGGTTCTGACCTGGCATATTGATATGAATATGATGGAATAACGTTGCCCAATAAAAAAACAAAACAAGCCTCGTATTTGGAGGATGAGCCTACGACCTGGTGAAATTCTTATATATGTGTGTGTGTATGTATGTATTTAAATAAAAAGAAAGAAGATATGTAATCCGGTGTTCTTATTGATATTTTTATTTTTTACAAAATAGTGCTCAATGTAAATTAATATTATAAATTAATATATATATATAAATTAATATATTAATATATATAAATTAATATATATATATATCATTAATTGGATTTACCCCAAGTAAGGCAATAAAGCCACTTAGACACAAGGGTTTAATGGGTGTGAAAGAATTAGGAAGCAGAAACTGGAGCAAGAACAATAGAAGAGTAATCAAGAAGCATAGTAGATAACGATTGACATTGCATTTAAATTTTTGAAGATTAAAGTTAACTAAAAAGCATAGAGCCTGTAGGGATTTTTGACGGTTGCGTGTATATGTGTTTGTGCTCGGCACTGTGTAGCCTTGAATGAACAAACTGAAGACTCGAAATAACTGTTTAACAGCTTTTATTCGTGGTTGAAAAGAGAGTGCAAAATAGTGGTATTTGGCGGGAAAAAGTTGGGTTTCTCAGTTAACAGAGTTCTTCCCCTGAGTAGATGTTTTGTTGAGAGAGATACACGGGTCTTCTGCAGCAAGGGTTGTGAGTGGTTTTTCCTTTGAGTGGGTGTCTCGAAGGGAAATGTCTCCGCTTATTCCTACGAGTAACGAGAAATCTACCAGAACAGGACACATGTCTCTTGCAGCAAGGGTTGTGAGTAGTTCTTCGAGCTGTCCTTTAAGGTAGCGGCTGCTGAAAAGGAAAAGTGGATAAGGACTTGGCCTTGAAGGTAGCGAGGTAGTTTTTTATAAGCCGGAAGAGAGTTCCACAAGTGAGAAGTGCGAAAAAAGAAACTGTTAGCATAGAAACTCGGTTACATCTAACCAATTCAATTGTAAATTGATGAGATCAATCTGGTACTGCACTTAAATTCATAAAGTCTAAGTATCATAGCGAAGGGCTCATCCGAACAATTACTATGAAAGTATTTATAGAAAAGGCACAGAGAAGCTACTTTACGACGGTGGGAAGTGACTGAATCCGAGACGCCAAGCCAGGACCAATAATATTGCTGATTCTTCTTTAGATTTATATTGGCGTGGAGCTAAGGGGTTAATATAAACAATTGATTTACCCATGCCAAGAAGATTATCGGAGGATATTAAAGACGTGGAAACATACGGATAATTTTAAAACAAATCACGACAAGGAATTTATTTACGAATTTACAGTACACGCTTGTGTCAATAGCTCGTTTCAGGAAAATAAATCAGAAGTCTGTAGTTTTAATTAATTGTCATGAGGAAATTGTCAAAATAGCCATTACCATGAACTTATTCTTGCCTTTGGCTAGTTCATCATTAAGATGCTACTTTTGTTTGAATTTATATCGTTTCTGCTTTTGACGTATTTCCGTGATCTGATTTTAATGTAAAATCGTGAACGTTCTTTTCGTTTGTTATATGTTCTAATTCGTATCAATGGCCACAAAGTAAAACTGGTAAAAATTTACTAGCTAAATTAAATGCCAGTTAAATTGAAAGCTGTAAAGTTTAATCAGCTAATAATGCCTCTCAAAAACTTCTTGATTTTTTTAATTGTTTGGAATATTCAGTCTGGTAAGAAATTAATATTAAATGTTAAGTTAATCGCATTGAACCCGATTTAGTAAGTAAACAAACCTTTGATATTACGATTTTAAATTCATAGAATTTATTTTATTCATCAATCCATACGACGTATTCTTTCCAAAATTTGATTAAAAGAAAAGTGGGTGAATTTGTGCTTGAATACTAAGGGAATTAATGCATATGATAAATATCAGTCAAAGGGAGATAATAAAAATGGCGCTGCCCAGTTAAGCTAACGTGCTTTTCGAGCAAGATGCACAGGTTTCTTAGGACATGGGTGTTTAATAAGAAATTTTATACATTCGATATTTTACGAGTATCTCCTCGCTTTGCTGTTATCAAAAACGAACATTATTCAACGTTAACAACTGAGAGTGGCGGAACTGTATTTGCTTTATCATCTGGAATTGGCCGGTGTGGGGTTGCAGTTGTTCGTGTTTCTGGGCCGGCTACTGCTCTTGCGATCCGATTGTTGTCAAAACCCACGGCAAGACAGCCTAAGCCGCGAGTAGCAACCCTTACCCGTTTCTATGACCCATGCACTCGTCAACAAATTGATCAAGGCATATTGTTATGGTTTCCAAGTAAGTCAATAATGCCCCATCCTTCAGCTCTCATTTTGTGTTTTCATCGCAATAAATTCATTTGTTTGGATAACTTTTGGCTTTAGCATTCAGAAATTCTTTTGTGCTGAAAGTTTGGTAAAAATGCGGAATAACGACCGCATTGTAATAATTTTTACATTAGAATGTTGTAAATAGAAAATTATTCTTGTAAGTAAACAATCTAATAAATACATAATTTTTTTGTTGTAAATTCTCAAGAACAAAGAAAATTATATTAATTCACTTTCATCATAAAATTCTTATCGCTTTTTAAAACGGTAAACATTGTCGAGGAGTGAAGAAGGTAGTTAAAATAATAATGGTCTCAAGGGAAAATGTCCTTTTAAAACATGTTTTTTTTTATTTTATTTTTTTTCAGGCACAATTGCCAAATTAAGATCTTCAGAAATTCTCTTATAAATATTGTAGAGATTGTAGGTAATGGGGGCAACTCATAGTTTGGTTTTCTTCTTGATACTACGTGAACCCAAATTGAAAATATATCATCCTTACACAAAAAAGTTAGCATCTCCAAGAAATTGTTAATAGAAATCCTGGTACAGTTTTTAGGATAATGGTCATTATAAAATTTATCCTTTAGGATGAGGAAAGCTTTCTCTATTAGGACTTTGTTAAAGAGATTGATCACATCGAAGTTCTTGTCCCAACAGCTGGGCATAGAATATGCCGGCTATATTCCCTGCTGAGGAATAAATAAAAGTTTCCTTTCAAAAGGTGGCCACCTACCAAGTAAATGCTTATAGACACAAATATAAATGACCAGTATTTTCCTATCCCTTAACCAAGTAAATGCCTATAAACTCAAATATAATAAAAATAAAAAAGACATATCTTAATGTTAAATAACAAGATGACATGTAAAATAAACGAACCCACATAAATAATAAATTGGTTCCCTGAAATAGGCAAAATTCTTCAAATATTGACTGTCTTGCCTGACAACATTTTTAGAACATATATATATATGTGAAAAGTGTATATAAATATAAATAAATATAAGTATGTATAATTATTTATATATTATATACGTGGTACTTATTAGAAAGCGCTCAATATCAGAGATAGAGCTAACATATTTGGTTGGATAGATGTGAGTTTGTGACCCTGGGTTTCACGCTTTAGCGATCGTCAGACAAACTGATTAATGTTTTAAAAAATTTGATTAATGTTTTAAAAAATTTTGGGTTTATGTTCACCCAGCACATTGAATAACTAAACATCACCATATAAATTATCCAATAAAGATTACAAATTCTACCTGTTACATATACACAGTCACCAAAAACAAACAAATAACCAGCTTTAAATATAACATATAAACCCCCATTTTTTTTCAAAAATTTAAAAATAAATATAAATAATAATAATTTTTACCTATCATAATTTTACACAAACCCCATCACACGCATATACATACATGCGAGGAAATATTTTTCAGCGCGAAAACACTTAATATGACATGTATACAGTAACGAGACATTTCCATACACTTGAATGTTTAAATTTCAACATTTCAACATACAAATGCGTATGTATAGATATAACACCACCCGTATACATACATGTGTCATAGCCGAAACTGCCCACATATGTTTATATATGTATGAGTCCCGGGACGACCAAGTATGTATATGTGTCTGCATAAATCGATGTTTGCGTTAGTACAATGAATGACAAAACGACAAAATTTCCCCCACCACTTCCACAATAACACCAATACACGCAATCTACATAAACCCAAATTTTTTAAAACATTAATCAGTTTGTCTGACGATCACTAAAGCGTGAAACCCAGGGTCACAAACTCACATCTATCCAACCAAATATATATATATATATATATATATACATATATATATATATATATATATATATATATATATATATATATATATAGTTTTCACCAACATTACTATGCAGTCAATGTCATCAGCTCTTCCATGCAAGAATTGGTTTACTTAGTCATCAATGCTATCATCATAAAGGAAGCATTCAGAAAATAAGAAATTAGATTATTCTTGGATACAAAATAAAGCTGCTGACCTATATATATATATATATAGGGCAACTATAATTGAAGATGGTTTTAGAATTGATCAGCTGAAACACTGTAGGAAAAATAAAAAAATGAGATCAAGTGTCTGAAAAATTCTTTGTGTTGCTTCTATTTCTAAAGTAACCATCACCATGAATCATAACATTGTTTTGATATTCTGAAATGAAGTAGTTTTGTTATTCCACATAGTTTTGTGGTAAGATACTTAACCTCAAAATTGATTCCATCTTTGTAAGAAGAGACGAAATAACCATTCTGTAGACACTAAAGAATTATTGCGTTTTAAACTTTGTTTAATTATTATAGAGCCACAGAGTTTCACTGGGGAAGACTGTGCCGAATTCCATGTACATGGAGGCAATGCTGTGATCAAAGCTTTTCTCACTGCTTTGGCCAAGATACCAAATGTCAGATTGGCAGAAGCAGGAGAATTCACTAAACGGTTTGTTTAATTTTGATTATTAAAATTGTATTTAAGGAACATTAAAACTGTAAGATTTCTTCCCAATTTATATACATTAAATTATCCTTCTTATTCATATCATCACATTTTCAATTTTTGTCTATATTTCTGAGATAGGGTATTGCAACTATTTACATTATTTACATCATTTCAAATGTTGTTCTCATCTTTATTGCCATATTTGTGACATTTCGGCCATTATACACTCCAGCTTTTTTCAGGATATATACGTTAGATATCTCAGTTTCAATTAATTAAAGATAATTAACTGAAACTGAGATATCACAAGGCATGGCATGTGGAATTAGAACAATCTAACCCCGTGGATTAAATAAATGGTTCAATTCAAAATTCCAACATATATCACCTGAAGGAGTTCAAAGTGTACAATGGCTGAAATGTTGTGAATATGGCAATAAAGATGAGGACAACAGTCTGAACGATATAAATAGTGTAAATATCTTCAATTTTATTTGTAATATTCAAATTTTTTTGAGAAAAGTTTGTTAAAATTAATTTGCCATTATATTAAATAGTTACTTCCTTTATATATGATATGCCTATATATTCAACAGTTACATCAGTCTATTTTTTGTTTATATGTGTACCAGTCCACCAGAAAAGAATACCTATGTTCCTTTTGTTGAACCCCAAAAGTAGACATAAGGAAATCTGTATTTAAGATGGATACATTTATTTTTGAGAATTGTATTTGTTATTTTGTTTTTCATAATTTATATTTGAAATAAAAATAGAAATATTTTGTAGTAAATTTGTGTTTATTTTAAATACCAAAAATATAAAATATATACCTTTTTCCTTATTCATTTTGCTTGTTGTTTGCCATTCCAATAAACAAATCTCCAGTTTTACTTGTAATTTAAAATTAGTTCAAGTATTTGCTTCCCTTATACCTGGGATATGGAAATCCTGTTGAGCTGATACACCTATAAAGAAAATGTCCTGATCAATTGTTATACCTATAAAGAAAATGTCCTGATCAATTATTATAATTATAAAGAAAATGTCCTGATGAATTATTTTACCTATAAAGAAAATGTCCAGATCAATTATTTTACCTATAAAGAAAATGTCCTGATCAATTGTTCTACCTATAAAGAAAATGTCCTGATCAATTGTTCTACCTATAAAGAAAATGTCCTGATCAATTATTATAATTATAAAGAAAATGTCCTGATCAATTATTTTACCTATAAAGAAAATGTCCTGATCAATTGTTCTACCTATAAAGAAAATGTCCTGATCAATTATTATAATTATAAAGAAAAAATGTCCTGATCAATTATTTTACCTATAAAAGAAAAATGTCCTGTTCAATTGTTCTACCTATAAAGAAAATGTCCTGATCAATTGTTCTACCTATAAAGAAAATGTCCTGATCAATTGTTCTACCTATAAAGAAAATGTCCTGATCAATTATTTTACCTATAAAGAAAATGTCCTGACCTTATTTTAATAAAGAAAATGTCCTGATCAATTGTTCTACCTATAAAGAAAATGTCCTTATCAATTATTATAATTATAAAGAAAATGTCCTGATCAATTATTTTACCTATAAAGAAAATGTCCTGATCAATTATTTTACCTATAAAGAAAATGTCCTGATCAATTGTTCTACCTATAAAGAAAATGTCCTGATCAATTATTATAATTATAAAGAAAATGTCCTGATCAATTATTATAATTATAAAGAAAATGTCCTGATCAATTATTTTATGTCCTGATCAATTATTTTACCTATAAAGAAATGTCCTGATCAATTGTTCTACCTATAAAGAAAATGTCCTGATCAATTATTTTACCTATAAAGAAAATGTCCTGATCAATTATTCTACCTATAAAGAAAATGTCCTGATTAATTGTTCTACCTATAAAGAAAATGTCCTGATCAATTGTTCTACCTATAAAGAAAATGTCCTGATCAATTATTATAATTATAAAGAAAATGTCCTGATCAATTATTATAATTATAAAGAAAATGTCCTGATCAATTATTTTACCTATAAAGAAAATGTCCTGATCAATTGTTCTACCTATAAAGAAAATGTCCTGATTAATTGTTCTACCTATAAAGAAAATGTCCTGATTAATTGTTCTACCTATAAAGAAAATGTCCTGATCAATTGTTCTACCTATAAAGAAAATGTCCTGATCAATTATTTTACCTATAAAGAAAATGTCCTGATTAATTGTTCTACCTATAAAGAAAATGTCCTGATCAATTGTTCTACCTATAAAGAAAATGTCCTGATCAATTATTATAATTATAAAGAAAATGTCCTGATCAATTATTATAATTATAAAGAAAATGTCCTGATCAATTGTCCTACCTATAAAGAAAATGTCCTGATCAATTATTATAATTATAAAGAAAATGTCCTGATCAATTATTATAATTATAAAGAAAATGTCCTGATCAATTATTATAATTATAAAGAAAATGTCCTGATCAATTATTTTACCTATAAAGAAAATGTCCTGATCAATTATTATAATTATAATGAAAATGTCCTGATCAATTATTATAATTATAAAGAAAATGTCCTGATCAATTGTTCTACCTATAAAGAAAATATTCTGATCAATTGTTCTACCTATAAAGAAAATATTCTGATCAATTATTATACCTAAAAAGAAAACGTTCTGATCAATTGTTATGCATATAAAGAAAATGTCCTGATCAGCTGATATACCTAAAAATAAATCTGCAATCTGATTTTTGAATATTAAGGAACCAATATTGATATGTAAGATAAAATAACCTTAAAAAAACAAATTATCAATATTTTAAATGATAGCTAGTATATACTTAAACTCAAAATGCTATATTGTTTATATAAATATAAAATATTTCCTGAAATTATTACCAACTTTAATTGGTTTATACCAGTTTTTTGTGAAAAATTACCTTTCACAATAAAATCAACTAGAATACTAAAGTGAAGAGACTTACTTTCAAATGAAAGCCACTAACTATAAATGCTATGGAAACTCAATGAGCACAAAAAAATAACTTATTAAATACAGTTTGTACATAATAATCTTCAGAAAGGCATGAATCCCTCTTTTCAGCAATAGGTTAAATAGTAGAGAAAATTGGTTTCACTAGCTTTGGTTGGCAACTAGTCTATGAGAAGGACAGTTTTGAATTTAAAACAATAGGATTGGATATAGGATTAGCAGCTCCACCCCATAAAACCTCCTTGCTCCTGAAGCTGTAGCAGTATCCATGTGACTGTAGCCCTATTTTACTGATTTCTAATATGTTCTTTATTGTATTAAACTCTTACTTCGAATAGAGATCAATATATTTATATAAAAGTCAGTGTCTGTTACTTTGTAATGCACAAGACAAGTCATGCTATAATTTTTAGCTTTCTTTCCTCTATATTTGATGAGAGTCTGCTTGAATTTATAAATGTCCCATGGGGAAAAATGAATTATATATGACCAAAAATGACAAAAACTGATATTGCTCACAAAAAAAAATTGAAGCATTCCCATATAACTGGTAACATTATGTTTCTTTGTTTTTCTTATTATTATAAAAAAAAATAATGATTTGAATTTATATACTTAAAGCATTTATCTATATATGTAAAATTGTAGCCTCTGTCTGTTTGTTATTGGACTCCTCCTTGAGTTTTGGGGATAGACCCCCATAACTATATATATAATTTGGAATTACCTTACTTAGGGAACTTGGATAAGTATATTTCATTTTGATCGAAGGGGGTTCCGGAGTAGCACAACCCCTGACACTTGAAAAAAATTTTTCCCTTTGATGTGAATTAAATTTAAATTTGAACAAGGGAATGGTTCTGATCCAAAATATAGAAGGAAAAATCCAGAAGATGGAGGTCATGTTGAAAAGATCATTGAATAATATTGAAATGCATCATTTTTCTCCACAAATTACAACAAAAAAAGTGTATGACATGCAGCAAGGTGTGGGTAATTTGGCTAGTAAACTATAAAAATAACATTTTAAAACCAGTTTACTGAGAGCACTTTCTATGGCCTTGTACCAGACTAGTCTTACAGATTACCTGAAATTAATGAAACTAATAATTCAATTCAATAATTTCATACCTTACAATTTAATTCACATAAAAATAATATAACTTTATCACTTGATTTTTTAAGTTTAGCACTGCCTAGTACAAAGCCACATAGGATCAAAACCTCTATAGAAATAATAGGTAGCAAATAAGACCCCTTCTCATTTATTGTATGAAATAATAATAATGGGTTTAATAAACAATTAGGACACTTTCTTTTGTCAGGGCTTTCTTGAATGGAAAGTTAGAGCTAACTGAGGTGGAAGGCTTGTCTGATCTTCTCCATGCTGAGACAGAAGCACAACATCAACAGGCACTGAGACAAATGCAAGGAGAATTGGGAAAATTATATCAACAATGGAAACAGGATTTACTTAAGGTATTTTGCACAATCATGAAATAAAAAATCTCTTTTTACACTATTTACGTCCTGACTAAATTTGTGTCCAGGTCCTTTCAATGTTCCACAATGTTTGTTTCTTTTAATAACAAAGATGATGGAAAGAAAAAGAATATAGGTGAATTTGGCTAGATTAAAAAAAAAATTTTTGAAACTCCCAGCATTTCTTGTTCATGTGCAGATGTAGTCAGAGCAACATAAACAAACCTCTTCTGATGAATTCCTAATCGATGAAACACATTACAAAAACTTTTTACAATTTGTCATACATCTTTTCTTTCAACACTATTTACAGGTGATCTATTGTCCTTATCTTTTTTGTTTTTATAATGTTTCAGACATTATGTCCTCCACCTTCATCAGGTGTGTTGATCTGTATAAACTAAAGGGAATTTCGAACTGAACCCTTTATTTAATCGACAGGGGAAGATGGTTCAGTTTGAAATTCCCTATAGGTTACCTGAATCAACATACACCTGATGAAGGCTGGAGAGCACAATGCCTGAAATTTATGATAACAGCAACAAAGATAAGGACAATAGTCTGCATGTAAATAGGGTAAATAATGATAACTCCTCATCGCTGAAATTCAAACAGGAAATAAAAATCTCTAATTCTTGTATTGATAGATTTATATCTTCTATCTACTTGAATGGTTATGTATGTGTCATTTTGTTTCATTAATATAATCACAGACTCATTTATTCTATATTTAGATGCGGTTAAAAAAAAAGTTCATTCTACAGCAAAAATTTACACTACAGGTAAAATGTTCGAGGACACCCTGCATATCTTTAAAAACACCTTACAATGAGATATTTTTGTATTTTTTTAAAGTAAATAGATAAAATTTCAGTACCTACAGTGTATTTGCTTTTACTTTTCAGTCTTTCTCCAGACTCCTCTTACTGCCAAAAAGTTCAAATTTGGATTTGTCTGTACTCAATACATTTTGCTAAATCATGAACATTTTGTATGAGAAACATATTTTGTTTTTACCATTAACCTCTCAGTAGACTTTTTGAGATTACCAAAAGGGCTGGAGATTTGATTCAATTCAAGGGAATCATGAAAAAAGAACAATATCATTCAATTTTGCAAAGACATGCTATACCATCTGGTTTATGCATAATTGGAAAAAATTCACCTTTCAACAAGGCAAAGATTCAAGACACTATTCTAAATTATGTCAAAATTACCTTAAGAAAAAAAAAAGAATGAATGAAAAGATATAGAAATTATATATATATATATGAATGAAAAGATATAGAAATTATATATATATATATATATATATGAATGAAAAGATATAGAAATTATATATATATATGAATGAAAAGATATAGAAATTATATATATATATATATATATATATATATATATATATATATATATATGAATGAAAAGATATAGAAATTATATATACTTAAAATTTGAAAATTACAATTTGGCTGCATCAATCTCCTGATGTCTTACCCATTGAATTAATATGGGATGAATTGGATAGGAGAGTTCAAAGAGAATACCCAAAGAGTGAGAGTGAGCTTTTTCAGTGTTTGAAGACTGCTTTGTAAGGTCTGCCATCTACTTTTATTTCAAAAACTGTTGGAAAGAATGCCAAGAATTTGTAAAGCAGTAATTAAGGCAGGTGGTGGTTTTATTAACAAAAACAAAAGGTGTTTTTTTTTTTTTTTTTTTTTTTTTTTAAAGAAATGCAGGGTGACCCCAAACTTTTAGCCTGTAATGTACATATTAGCTTTAGCTGTCAGTTGACAATAATGTGTTATTCAATCATATGATGGCAGCATTTTCATCTTATAAATCCTATCTTGTTATTTCTAAATTTGAAATAATATTTACTATTTTCCTTTATCACTTTAAATATTTACAATAAAAAAATATGTAAAGTTTAGCCATTTTAAGTCTTTGCTATTTGAAAAATTATGAAGCCTTTTTATTAAATTTGAATCTAAATTTACCTATAATTACCAATCAGGTGGAATAATTTAAGTAAATTTTAAAAAAAATTTAATTTTCTTCTTCAGGGAAGTTTATTTTTTTTACTTTTTTTTAACCATAAACTTTATAGACTATCAAAAGATAGGAGTCAGGTTGAAACATATTTTTACTGTTTATTTTCTTTTCCTATTTTACAGTGTGCTGCTAATGTGGAGGCATACATTGATTTCAGTGAGGATGATAATATTGAAGCTGATGTCCTTGATGAAGGTATTCTGAAAACTTTATAAAAAATTATCTTGCTTTTTGTTATTAATGTTGAGAATATTATGGAGAGAACATGTAAGTAATGAGGAAGTTTTAAGGAAATTGGGAACTACAAGGAAACTGATACTAACAATTAAATAGAAACAACTGAAATTTCTACAAAACAGGAAAGAAGGCATGGAGAATTTAGGGAGAGTAGTGATTCCAAGCCAAGTACACAACAAATATATCAAGAAATCAATAGAAAATAGTTGAATCCGTCAACACAACAATACAAACAATATTTCTACATGTGAAAATATTCTCTTCAAACATAAAGTAACTGACGTAATTTTTCAGTTGACCAAATGAATATATAATAGCATTTTTAAATTCTTCTAGTTGTTAACAACATTTTGTTTGTTGTTTATAGATACTTTGTCTCAATAAATTCATTTCGTTTTTTTGTCTTTATAAAGTCCACATTGGACAAAATGCGTCGGCTAATACTACAGTTTTCCTATTGTCTTTTTCTTTACCCATATTGTCTTTGTCTACTGGTTAATTCTGAGGAATTTACATATATATATATATATATATATATATATATATATATACACACCAAATATACACACATATATAATATATATAGAAATTATATATATAATATAATATATATATATATATATATATATATATATATATATATATATATATATATATGAAAAAATATAGAAATTATATATATATATATATATATATGAATGAAAAGATATAGAAATTATATATATATATATATATATATGAATGAAAAGATATAGAAATTATATATATATATATATATATATATGAATGAAAAGATATAAAATTATATATATATATATATATATATATATGAATGAAAAGATATAGAAATTATATATATATATATATATATATATATGAATGAAAAGATATAGAAATTATATATATATATATGAATGAAAAAGATATAGAAATTATATATATATATATATATATATATGAATGAAAAAGATAGAAATTATATATATATATATGAATGAAAAGATATAGAATATATATATATATATATATATATATATATAATGAAAAAAGATATAGAAATTATATATATATATATGAATGAAAAAGATATAGAAATTATATATATATATATATATATATGAATGAAAAGATATAGAAATTATATATATATATATATATATATATATATATATATATAAGAAAAGATTACTTAACTTTTAAATATCTATTTTATCCCAACTTCAAATTTTCTTGGTAAAATTTCCAGTCTTCAGGGGTTGTGGTTTTAAACGGTATTTTTAATATTTTTTTTCAATTTGTTCCATCATTTTCAGTGCACTTTTTTACTCTGTACATGTGCGTATTCATGAATTTAATGTTCTTTTACACATACATGTTCATGAAATTTTGCTTTTGTATATATATATATATATATATATATATATATATATATATATATTACAATGATGTTCAAGAGCCACTCGAGGTAGAGTTACAGAGTAAGAGGCAAAGTTTGTGGGGATATTTGAGGAAGATAATAGTTAACACTAGACGTGAACAGGCAAGATTGTAGTGATCATGGATGCATTCTCTTGGGAGTCGGTTCCACAAAGCGGTGGCATGTAGGAAGAAGCTGCTCCAATAACAGAATACAAAGGGAATGAGGGTGGTTAACGAAAATGAGATACAGCTAAAAACACTGAGTAATCATTACGGTAATATTTTAATAATAGAAAAATTTTTTCTTTTATTATTTGTACCAAAAAATGAGAAAAAATAAGAGATAAGTTATTATACATTGATTTATTTAAACTGTTATCCTTATCTTGGTTGTTATAACCACTGTGTTCCAACCGTTGTACTATCCAGCCATCTTCAGTTGTCTGTTATATGCTGTTATGCTCCATTTCAAGGGTAGAAATTGTACAGATGCATGCTGGGATTTCTTCTTAACTAATAAAATGGATCACCTCTTGATCACATCCACCATATTTTTTTCTTTCTTGTCCTGAAGTCAAAATGCTACAATCACTTCACTGTATCCCTTTTGGGTGTTAACACCATCTTACTTTGTGAACTTTTTGCATTATAATAATGCTTTCCCTATTTTCCTTTTGCATATATATATATTGTTTGCTTAGTATTATTTTGCACTGTTCTTTTTCTTCCTTTTCTTATTGTTTATTGCAAACTTTGTCAATTGAGCTTTTTTGCCAATTACACTTAAATATAGCCATTGGCCAATTACTACACATAGACTATTCTCATTTCCTTGTTCATACTAAGGGAGATAACTGGTATTTCATTTTTGTTGTTTTCTGTTCATTCAGAATAAATAGTATGAATTGTCTCCCCTAGTATCAACCGCAAAATGAAAACGGTCTATCTCCGTGAATAGAAACCCTTGAACATTGCCAAATACAAGGACAATAATTCTGTGTAGTGTATAATTATGATAATTACTCCTTTGTTGATGTTTTGCCTATAATGTTATGACTAATTCATTTTCCAGCCTTCTTTAGGTGAATGTTTAGTGCAATCATATTTGTTGTATTTATATTCTGATCTCTCATCCATATCCAATTCATTTTACAATTAGTTGCATTACCAAATCATGGTAGCAACCTGTTTACCTGAAGATGGCCAGAAAATAGACTAGTACATATATTGTTGGAAAGAATTTTCTTCTTTGTTTATCGACATCATTGTTCTGAAACATGGCATTTATATTGTCAGTTAATTTTCCTTACTCCACAAAACATGATCTCTCAGGTACAATGGATTAATCTACTTTTATGTTTTCAGCTAGAAATCAAATTCAAATCATCCAGAATCAAATTAGGAACCACTTGAATGATAATCGACGTGGGGAATTACTTAGAGATGGTGTACAGGTGGCATTACTTGGAGAACCTAATGTTGGTAAAAGCAGTCTTCTCAACATCATCTGTAAGTTCTTTTCTTTAATGACTTATAAAGTGGTTTGCTATTCTTATTATTTGTTGTTTTACTTTAAAAAAAGAAAATAGTTATATATATTTGTGTGTGGACTGCCTTTTTTTACCTAAAATAAACCTTGAAAATTCACTGACCGTGTTTGAGTTTGAATACTGCAACACTTGTACATCCAATTATAGAGAAAGTATTTAAATACTTTTAAAGAAATGTATCATGTCAAATTAGGAGTTTGTCTTAGAAGCCATTACAACTAGTATTTATAATTCAGAAAATTTTGAAGATAACTTCAGATTTGTTATGAGATCTCTCTGGAATGTATCCAGCCATTTTGAATATCTCTAGAACCGGTTGTTCATCTTTAATGTAACTTGGCAAAGAATCAGAGGGAACCTTAAAGCACATACATGAACACACTCCCATAACATTATATATATAAAGAGTCCAACAAGAATCAATGATGACTCAATCTAGCCCCAATTTAGACAAGTGTGTCTTAGGCCAAAATTTGAAGCACAAATTTTACCATAGATATGGGGCATGCTACTTGGTCGGTTGAGGAAGCATTATGTTTCCGTGCTGCTCTCTTATCTCTCAGCTTTTGCACCTTGTCATTTTCAAATTGATTCACAATATCATTGGTTGAACTATGTCACTGTTTCCTTTGGATGCTGATGATCCCCATGTGTTGAGGGGAAACTTGCAGGTATTTAACCTTTCTTTCAGTGTGTCCTTGTAGTGGGTTCCTTCAGAGATTTCTGAGTAAGATCTGTTTGAAAGCCTGGTGTCTGCCATGCACACAGCATATCCAGCTCAATGTAGTTGGTTCTTCATGTCCTGCCACTTTATACCCATAATTTTTTAAGGCATCTGTGGTGGAATTTTTCCAGTGCCTTAATGTGGCATCTGTAGGTGGCCCATAACTCACTGCTGTACAAAAGGGAGGGAAAGTACCATCAAACAATACACGGCTATTTTCATCTTCAGTGCTAGGCTTTTCTTGTACCACACTTTCTTTCCAGAATGACCAAAAGAAGAACTGGCCTTAGTGATATCATTACTTAGTCAGCAATGAGACACCCTTGATTGATCTTATGTACTGTGTGACTGTCACAATGATGTCCCGCACTTCACTCTGGTCACTCAGGATCCCTACAGTCAAAATTTAGCTCTATGTGATTTCTGGCTTTTACTAAAGTTAAAAATTATTGTTCTGTTCAATTTGTGCAAGAAAAAAAGGAAAAAGACAACAAAACCAAAAGTTAGAAATTAGAACAGGTAGAATATGATTTCCTTTAACACCAGGCAAAATTTTTTTTTCTTCTCTGGCAAGACGCTGAAATACGAGTCTCCCTTTCTCCTGTTTGTCTGTCTGTCCCCATTGTTCTTAGGTAGTTATCTCAGTGACAGTCAAAAGTGCCTCTCCCCACCAACAAATTCATAGCCTTTATATGTGTTTAGAATTTGCATGGCTGTCTCTTGTTAGTTATATCAGGCAGACCTTTTCCAAATTGCCAACTAAGCATGCAAGGCATAATGACCTTTTCAATCTTGGTCGGTGTGTTGAATGTTCATCACACTCCCCACTGATCTCCTAATCACAAAGGTGAATGCAGGTAGGGGGCACTAGCTTAGTACTTCTTCACAGTGGGACAGTCATGATGTCTCTCTTGGTTGAATTGCTGGATATGTTCAAGTTGGATACTAAATCAACATCTGAGTGAGCACTTTGGCTTGGCTATACCATTCTCTCACTCTCCAACAATGTTCCATTTCTACTTGTGCCTTTTCCCAATTGCAAATGACAAACTAAGCATGTGAAACATTGTGAATTTTTCAATCCTTATAGGTGCATTGATGGTGTTGTAGAGTAGCTGAACAATGGGAGGGGGTCTGTGAGTGTTGAACAAACACAAATAAGCCAGAGCAGGCATCTGCAACGGGGACTGGTTAGCCGCCCTAGCAGACTGGTATACTTAGATATGAATGACCAAACATTATATAAACTAAATCTTTTCTTAAATAGATAATTAAAAGTACTTATGCTTTGATTCAGCATTCACAAATGAAATAAGTTTTGAGAATCTGTTAAATCCCTGTACTGCAGCCCATTGCACTCAGTGTGTGTAGGCCCTCCAGCTGATAGGAACTCCTGCACTACACCCCCTAAATCCATTGCACTCAGTGTGTGTAGGCCCTCCAGCTGATAGGAACTCTTGCACTACACCCCCTAAATCCAATGCACTCAGTGTGTGTAGGCCCTCCAGCTGATAGGAACTCCTGTACTACACCACCTAAATCCATTGCACTCAGTGTGTGTAGGCCCTCCAGCTGATAGGAACTCCTGTACTACACCCCCTAAATCCATTGTGCTCAGTGTTTGAAGGCCCTGTAGCTGAAAGTATCCCTTGTACTGCAGCACCTAATGCCTGTGCTTTTAATCTGGCATTCTTTTCATTTAATTATTTTAATAATAATAATTACAAAATTTAAGCATATCTTGTATGCATTGTTACATACTGTACCTATGAACACTAATGGTTATATCCCAATCCTCATAAATATTTTGGACACTATTTTAAGTGGGGATAATATGCTGTCTTAGTAGTCCACCACTAACAGTGGGCTATCTACTTCATGTCACTGGTGAGTATTGTATTATGTTGATGTTATTCCTCATTCAGTAACCTTTTCTAGGTTATAACATTAATAAAAACATTTTATTATTTAATTGCATACCATTTGATCAACGTATCAATCTACAGCAGTGAATAAAAACACTGGAAATAAAGTTTCTAGGAAAATCAGTCAGAATGAAAGAAATATTAGTAAAAAAATGTTGAATTTTTTTTATGTAATAAAAAATAAAATTCATAATAGTAGTATTACTATTGTTGCATGTAAAAACAATAATACACATGACTATAGAAAGTAGGGAGATTTAAATGGTTAGATTTGATCTGCTGGCCATAGAAATTCCTGTAGCTCAATTGGTAGAGCAGTTGTTATGGTTAACTAGACTTTCCAAGGCAAAGTGATATGTGATCGAGTCTGACCAAAAATTTATTCTTTATTTTTAATCAACACTATTTACTCTGCCAGTCAGAGTAAAATTGCAGTGAAAAATAAAGATCAAGATGAAAGAAATACTAGTTAAAAAAAACATTACTATTAGTTGACAATCCTATAATAAAAATAAGTCATTCTGATATTTATAAGAAAAAAACTGACATAATGGTTTTGTTGAAAATATATGGAATGTATTTGTTGCAGGTCAACGTCCAGCTGCTATTGTATCATCCATAGCTGGTACTACACGAGATGTGATTGAGTCTTTTCACAACATTGGTGGTTACCCAGTTACATTTTGTGACACTGCAGGTCTGCGACAAACCACAAATTTGGTTGAACTGGAAGGTGTACGTAGAGCCATTAAAAGGTTAGATTCATTTTCTAATTATTAACAGAATGTTTTATGTTCTCAGTATGGTAGATTCAAAGCAAGAAAGAAATGCCTGCCTAATTTGGTTAAAAGATATAAAAACAATATATCATTCATATTTGTAGTGTTTGGAAAATAACTACTGAAAGGAACAATTAAAACTTTTATGAGCAGTGGTTAAAACGGCCAAGCCAGACTGTTAATAAAATCAAGAAGTGTGTGTAATGAGAGCCTCATATGGTACAAGGACACAAGTGATAAGCATTCCATGAAGATTATGGAACTCACAATATTAACAAGTGGGCAGTGAAATTTACAAATGATAATTATATAGAAGGTACTCAATCGGTATTTAATAAATTAAGTTCATTGTAAAGCTTATCTATATTATTTTGATTAAAAGGTTTACCTAATTGTTCCTTATTTAATCATTTAGTTGGATTTAATCCATATTTTCAAGTTGTTTCAAGTTGTTTTTTGTTTTCATTTCACCCTAAGCAAGATGTTAAGGCCTCTAAGATGAAAAGGTGTTACTGAAAGTGGAAGAAACTGAGAAAATATTATTGAAGAGAAAGGACTACAAAAGAACAGAATTAAAAAACAAAAAACAAAAAAAAAAAGCAGATGATGATTTAGATTACATCTTTGAAGATCATAGGAAAGCAAGAAGCCAGAAGAGTTCCACAAGTGGGAAATACAAAAGAAGAAACTATTAGCATAAATCTTATGGTTATATTTAGCATTTTCAACAGTAAAAAGATGAGACCTAACTGCCAATCTAATACAGTTCTTAAATTTGTGAAGTTGAGATATCAAAGAGGAAAGCTCATGACAATAATAGCCATGAAAAAAAATTTGTAAAAACGACTCTGGGAAGCAATGTTATGGTGCTAGGAAAGTGATTGAAGCTGAGATGCTAGGTCAGTACTGATAACATTGCAGATTATTCTTAATTATGAATAAATAAAGCATTTAAACAACAAATGTAAAGAATAGCAGTTTAGTAAGAGCAACTATGAAAGAAGCAAAACATCATTTTTTGTCTTATTTACACAAACCTGTTTAAATAAATGACTACTTAAACAGACCAGAGTTAAGTCAAATCTATAATTCATATATATATATATATATGTGTGTGTATGTATTATTTATTATAATGTTTTCATATGGACAAAAACAATTTACTCACTACAAAGATGCAACTTTGTTTCAGTACATTTAAATTGCACTTTGACTGGTGAGAACCAAAACCAGTCGAAGTGCAATTTAAATGCACTGAAACGAAGTTGCATCTTTGTAGTGAGTAAATTGTTTTTGTCTATATGAAAAAATTATAATAAATAAATAATTATTTGTCTACTATTGGTATTCAGCCCTCTTTTGAACTAATGCTGTGAACGTTAGAATTTATATATTATTTTCTCATTACATCTCATATATATATATATATATATATATATATATATATATATATATATATATATATATCCATCCATCCAAATCCAAACAAGTTTGATTAAAAAGAGGTGAGTAGGCCTGTCTGTTTAATTTTTTATTATATTTTTCCAATTTTGGTATATGGTATTATACTCAAAGTTGTGGATAAACTGTCCAAAGTTCATATTTTGTTATTGCTGTTCAAGTATTTTCAACTTTCACAATCATTTTCAACTGGGGTGTCTGTGTGGTAGTTAGAATTCTTTTATCTGCATCCTGGTATTCTTTAGGAAACTGGACATTTGAAATGGTCTAGCATGGTGGTATCTACTAGTATTTGCCTCATGTTGATAGTTGTACTTTGGTCCTTCATGATGTGCTGGTTGCTGTGTGCATGGATTGCACAGAGTTTCAACAGATGACAGGTCAGTCTGTGAGAAGGTGTAGTATTGTCCCTTATATCTTCTTTTCACACTGTCCATATATTTCTCCTTCAGGTTAGGGTCGTTCAAGAGTCTATTGTATTGCCATTTGGGTACTGTTTTAGGCCTCTTCGTTTTCCATAGTTTCAGTTTAAGTTTGCATATATAACTGGGAGGTGATCACACTTAGTATGTATAAAAGTTTGCATATATAACTGGGAAGTAACTGCACTTAAACTTAAAAGTTTGCATATATAACTTAAAAAGCATAAACATGTTTTATGACTCTGCTTACAGATTGCTTAAAAGAGCTGGTAACATTGCACATTCTTCTTAATAAATAAATTGGATTTGGCAGCTCATTTCTCAAACCAATTTAATACCGTAGTGATTATTTTTTGTTGAATGAATTCAGGATTGTTTTTAAAATTTTAATCTGAATATGACTGGATCAAAAACTGTCTAATTAACAATTCATTGAATGATGTACTGAATTTTAGATCATTTTTTTTTTATCCTGGACTAAGGAGATCCTTTTAACCTGAAAGAAACATAGGCAAACACAAAGTGTTATCACATCTGGAGTAAAGCATGTTAAAGAAAAAATAGAATTGATATCTTAGAAGTTTTGAAGAGGTGTGTTAATGTTTGTCGGGATCTAAATGGCTACTGATCTCATTGATCCCTTACAAACTGAACCCCTTTTTGCTAATACACTATCTTTGGATATTTGGGGTGAATTTCACTATTTCATAACTGTCTGTGTAATTAGATATCAGAGAACGGTATCAATAAAGCAGTACCATGGGTTCAGTGGGTCAAGCATATGCCTTCAGTAATAGTGATATTCTCAGTAGTATCACTTTTCTTGTGCAAGGATTCAAGGATGTTTCTTAGCAACTCAGCTCTTGAAAAATCATTGTATCCAATTTGACTGATTTCATGTACTTTGAAGAATTAAACTTAATTATCTCTTAGATATCATCCATTGAATTATTTCAAAACATTTAATAAAATGTATGTTCCTTTCTCCTAATTTATTTTTACCTGTTAACTGTTGGATAAAATATTTTAAAATATATAAGTACCAAATAAACAAAATATGTCACCCAGCACCAGCAGCCTACAAATGTTTAATTGCTTTTTTTTTTTTTTTTTAAATTTATTTTCCAGGGGTCTTCAAGCAGATATTGTCATTCTAATGTTGGATGCTGTGCATCAGTGCAATAAATTTCTTGAAAGACCAAAAATGGTGCTTGGTGATTACATTTCTGAACAACTAGAAACTCTGATGGCTACAACAAATCAAGGAGAAAGTCAGTCTCCATTGGACAGTGGTCAAAGAAGAATAAATCTTAATGATGTTGTTGTTGTGTTCAACAAGTTGGACTTGGTTGATAAATCTTTGCTGGCTAACTTGCAGAAAAGGCTTTCATCTCCTGGAACTCCTTCCTGTTGTGCAATATCCTGTTTAAACCAAGATGGGCTCACGCATTTTCTTGATACTTTGGTAAAGAAAATTAAACAAAGGTAAGATTTGCATTGTTTGTAATTCTGAAACAATTATTGTTGTTCCATGAGTTATTCAAAATAGACTTTGCATCCTTGCTATCTTTATCATTTTGGCTGATGCATTCTTCAGCCTTTTTAAGATGTATAGTCTATCCAGTTGGTCTCTTACAGATGATTCTACATTTTAGTGTGAAAAATTCCAGCAGACAAAGGTTATCCAGGAGTCCATCTTAAATAAATTCAGCTATGTAGACTAAGTAAAACTAAACATATGCTAATTTTCTCAGTACATGCACAACATATTTGAAAGGGCTTATTGCCACATCATGTTGAAACACTGGTTACTGTACGATCACTGATGTTAAGCAATGTCAAGTCTAGTCAATACCCAAATGGGTGGTCACTTGGGAATATTGGGTGCTTGGATGTACTGGTGATGTAATGAATAATGGATTGGAATTGTTAATTGAAGAGCCAAGTTCCAATTCCATTTGGGCTTGTTATATTTATTTACATAGTTGGCCTTCCTGGAGTAGGACCATTTGAGTAGGGATCAAGACTTTTGAGTCCAACAGTGAACATGAAGAGGATCTGTGATATACTGTCAGGAGGGGCTGACTTGCCTGTCCTCATCCACCACCCACACTTTTTTGTGACTACTGCTCACCACTTTTCATGAGTAGGCTGTGCCTTCACAGCCATCCAGAGGGGAGAAAGAGAATAAGGAAAGAGGATGATGATCCTGATGCTTGAATGATTTCCTTATATGCAAATACCCTTGGGAAAGGTATGAATCCACCTCTTCTCCCCCGAGTTATGGGTTAATTAGTAAGTCTTGTATCACTAACTCATTATTATTTCAAAATAAAAAACAATTCTTACAACCTAAAAATATATTCTGTACTATAGTATATTTTGTTGTATAACCAAGGTTGCATGTTTGATCAAATTATTGATTATTGACAGACTATCCATAATTTCAGGTGTACACTCAGCTTCTAAGGAATGTCTCCCACTTGAAGGAATATTATGTAATGTCTTTGTGCTTTCAAACTTTTCTATCAGACAAGTAATTGTTGATAGTGCAAATGGATCCTGTTTTAAAATGTTCCTTGTTTTATAAACTCTCATCGTTACTGCTGCACTCTCATGAATCATAAGAGGAACAACTGAAAAATTATAATTAATTGTTGTAATTTAACGATACAGTGCAACCTCGTTTCAGGAATTTAATTCATTCCTGAAGCCCGTTTGTAACCCGAAACTATTTTTCCAATAGGAATCAATGTAAAATGAATTAATTCGTTCCTCCTCCCAAGATGATTGGTTATTTAAACTTTAACAACAGTACTTTGTGCACAAGTTTATACATGAAACTAATAAAAATCATTAAATCTAAGAAAAAAAAATAAACCCAATACTAAACAGATAAAATATAGACGAACACTTCATTTTTACCGTACCTGCATGTAGGAGAGTTGATGGTGTAAGTGAAAGGGGAAGGAAAGAGATGTTATTGTTTAAAAAAGGGAAGGAAAAACATGACTGTCTCTTTATTTATAAGAATAGTATAGATCAATGATTTTGCCATATGAAACTGAGTAGGAAGAGACAATACCATCAACAATTGTTTTTCTCTTAACTTTTTCCTTTACCAGTATCACTGCTAGCTTTCTTTGGAGCCATGACTAAGGACCTATAAAGAGAAAAAAAGGCACAGTACAATAAAGTTAGAAAAGCCAAGCACAACACAAATGTATACAACATGGCAGTCAACTAAAAAATGATTCCGTTCGGGTTAATTTGGTTTAGCAATGTTTTTTGAGAACTGGGGCATTTTCATCTTGAATATTCTGTTAGAAAACCGATTTGATCGACATGTGAGATGTTCGAGAACTGAGGTTGCACTGTAGTCAAATTTGAAAGTGATTTGACATTGCACAGAGGTTATGAACAACAGAATTTAAGCAGCTATTTATAGCAATGAGTATAACATATTTTGGTATCTGCAGAAAAAGATTCATGGATAGTAAAATATCTTTTGTTTAAGGGAACTATTGAAACCACTGCACATTTGAGTTGAGTTCATTAATCTAAAGCTTATTTATTTTTTTATTTTTTAGATGTGGAGACCCATCAGTGGGTAATCCAAGCCTGACACAGCAGCGGCATAGGGTCCACTTGACACAATGTGTTCATCATCTAGGGATGTCTCTTCATTACTTTAATCATGATGAAGTACTTGTTGCTGAACAACTACGCAGAGCTTTGAGGCAACTTGGAAAAATTGTTGGACAATTTGTAAATGATGACATTCTCAATGTCCTTTTTAAAGACTTTTGTATTGGCAAATGACATTCACTTGAAAGCTCAAGTTTTAGTATACAGAGACATTTATCTATTTATATATCTGGTCAGTTTTAAAACCCGAAGAATAAAGTTAACCTTCAAAACATGTTTGCTGGTAATCAATATTTGATAAGGATCAATAATCAAAAATAACAATCAGTTATGTATGCAACATCAGTGAAAGCGTATGTATATCTCTTATATCTATGACATGGATTCCCCCTGTCTTTGTAGTGAAAGAGAGAATCACATGCCTTGAAAAAGAGTTTGTGTTTTATGTGCAATCTCCCAAAGAAGGACTAAAGAAAAAGTAGTTAGCAAAAATCTGCTACTTTAAGGATCAGAATCTATGCTAATGTTCTTTGCCCCCAGTGAATGGCATGGCCAATCAGAAAAATTGCTCAGAGAATAAAAGCCTTTGTTTTTTGCTTATTGGCAGTATGATTTTTTCTGAGCTTGGTGGACGAACATGTGTTTATTGGTGAGAAGTGACAGTTGGATTTATGACCCCCATTTTGTTATTACTATGTTGCCTGTTGGACTGTTACGATGGACTCTCATTTGAACTGTGAATTGGCTACAAGTGTTGCAGATGAGAAACAGAAGAAACCTATTGCCAGTGTTTATTGCTAAAACAAATTTACAGTTTTTTTTCTTTTCTCTACAACAGTCTTTTCAACAAATACTTTCATGACACCTGTTCTGATGGTCTTTTTTTTCTCTGGTGCCTTGCCTACGTGAATTTAAGTGTACTACAAGATTGGCAACTAGGTCTCACTATTTTACTGTTGAACTAGTTAGATGCAACCACCATTTCTACTCTAGCAGTTTCTTTTCTCGCACTTCTCACCTGTGGAACTTGCTTTCCGATTTCTTGTATCCCTGATAACTAATCTTCAAAAACTTAAATGCAATATCAATCACCATCTTCTGTCTTCTCGAACTCTGCTCCCATTTTTTTGTCTTTTCCTCCATCCTCTTTACTAAAGTCTTCTCATTCTCCTTCACTCCTTGAATTCTAGTTGAATTATTGCTTTGCTTGGAGTGTGTGGTAATAAAATAAACACATTCCATTTTCCCTTTCACTTGTAACTATGCATTACAATAAATACAATGTTAATCAGTGCTAAAGCTGACTTAGGTGTCCTGGGTATGACGTTAAATGACATCCGCGTCCTGGGTAAGATGATAAACTACGTCCAACAGCAAGCCCTCTGATCAGGAGGTTTTGAGGAGCATGGAACCACCTCTTAATTGCTGGTGTTCCCAGGTCCACCTTGACCCGGGGTGGTAGCACCTGTTAGGGTCTCAGCTATGGGCAAATAGTTAACCCCGAAACTGAGGTAAAAAACCTTATAAAAGTGTAAAAATATGTTTTAATACCAGAAATACCTTGTAAAAATTATTACCAGAAATAAATTTTTGAAGAAAAACACTATACCAGCAATATATTTTTGAAAAAAAAAAATATTACCAGCAATATGTTTTGGAAAAAAAACTATTACCAGCAATACATTTTTTAAAATAATATTACCAGCTATACATTTTTGAGGAAAAAAAATATTACCAGAAATAGATTTTTGACAAAACAAAATATTACTAGGAAAAAAAGTTGTTGGTATTAAATAACCCATTGAGGTTGATATGCTGTAAAAAACACAATACAACAAAACAAAACAAAGCTGACTTAGTCTAATAAAACTTCATAAGCTTCTATTTTTGTTGTTATTATATTGCAATTTATTAGACTAAGTTGCTTTTGCAATGATGAAACATATACTCTGCCCAGACAAACTTACTACAGATCCTCATGGTACGACCCTAGCTCTGACGAATGGTCGGTGCCTCAGAAACAGGCTCCCCCTACTACTGACTCTTCTAATTCTGAGAGTGAACAGTCTGAGCATTGAAGAAGGTGAAAGCATGTCTGGTCAAATTAGCCAAAGTCAGAATATGGTAGACCAGACAGTTCTGAGACCTTATCAGAACCTGAAGCAGAAACACATGAATAAAATAAATATGGTGGGGGTGGAGAATGTAGTGATAAAATAATCACACCCCATCTCTCCTCTTGCTTGTAACTATCCATTATAATAAATATAACATTTATCAGAAGCTAAAGCTGATTTAGTCTGATAAAATTTCATAAGCTTCTACTTGGTGTTGCTGTTATATTACAGGGTGAAACATTTAAAAAATAATCTATTTCAATGTTTATTCAACACTGCAGATGATGTAAACATTGAAATATTAACAAAATTAGTCTGTAATTTTGCTTTTTATTTATTTATTTATATTGTTTTTTTAATCATTTCACCCCAGGCAAGGTGATTATGCCACTAAGACACTAAGGGGTTACTAGGAATGAAAAAGAATGAGAAGACTTTAAAAGGAACTGGAAACCCAATCCTAGATGGGAAACAACCTCTACTCCTTTTCAAAAAACTGAGGAGATGTGTGAACCAGACAATATTACTTACAAGCATCTTTGTATGTAGTTTTCGTCAGATTAATTTTCTTGCCTTTTCCTATAACGTTTCAGCTATGTGCTCTCCAGGCTTCCTTGAGTGGCTGTTGTTTTCTAAAATGTCGCAGGTGCAGGCACATCTCTTCCAACATATATTTGCTTTGGGCACCTCAAGGTGGTGCAATGGTTAGCAAGCTTCTCTCACTACAACAATTACAACTGGGTAGTGAGTTCGATCCTCACTGGGTGCTCCCTATTTTTGGCATTGTGCCACATCTAAGCTACGCTTGGAAAATCACTATATCACATCTGCTTTTTGCATGTAAAGAGGAGCATCAGTGGATAAGTAAAATGAAAGAATCCGTCTACATCAGGGGTTAAATTCACCCCCCAGGGAGGTGAATTATGACCACAGTAAGCTTAGTGGGGAGGAGAGCAGTTATAGAATTTGATCTATCTGGCCTGTCACCTTGAAAAGGAGTGGGGAATGGCATTCTGACAACTGATAAAAGGGGTGCATGAGGCAAGCATGGTTGAGAACTCCTGGTCTACATGCTATGCTCAGATGATTCAACAATTAGATTATCGACATTAATAGCGGATGGATATTAATAATCAACATATAGCGATAACAAACTTGGGATTCTAGTGATGTCGTACTTACAAAGTGGAATTTGGCCACTAGGAATATGGGGAGGCAAAAGCCAGACATGATATCTGAGAAGAGATGCAAAAGAACCCTTTAATTAAGATTCATCAACATTGTAGAACACAACTGACAATTTATAAATGACTGAGATATGAAAAAACAAAGACAAGTTCAAAGAAAACTACAGAGGACGTCTGACAAAATTCAAACAAAAATTAATTACAAGCATGTTTTTCAGAATTACCTTCATTCTTTATAAATTCATATCTATGTCTCATATTGCAACATATAGTGCAAAGTTGTATGTTTGGATCCTTATACAGTTTTTAGCAGTGTCAGCTTTCTATAAAATATAACATGCTGAGATATGTTTGTTTTGGGGTTTTTTTTATGAAATCTTAAATGATCATTTTCAGAACTGTAGCATTTATTTTTCTCTCTCTCATCCACCGTTTTTTTTTTCTAAAGTTTAGCCAATACAAAACTCAATAGACCCTCAAGAGCTTTTGTTAAATAATAGTTTAGCAGACTATTTGTAGAGAAATGTATCTCTGCTTGGGCTTCCTGAGGTTGATCTTAGGGACCAGATTGAAGACAAAACATAAAGTTGATTTTGATTGGCTGAACGAGCATGGGAATGATAGAGATGTAGAAAGGTTTTTCAGGGAGTTGAGTCTTAACTATTGAACAGTGTAGATGTGTTTCCTATTTGAGTCTGGATCTGCTCCCCAGTGGAGAAAGAGAGAGAGTGACCCCACTAGCTAGTTAGAAGATGAATACGTTGACGTTAATAAACTAGCTAAGTTAAAATTCCCTGTGTTGGACCCAAAAATATTTCACCAGGAGAAGATGAGAGAGAGAAGATACAACATATGAGTGAATCGATGCCGTTGCCCAAGAGCTCCCCGGCATGAGGGGGTTATGCAATACTTTACTAAATGAGGTGTGTAATATAAATGTAAATAGAAGAAGTAGGAAATGAAGATTTTGATAAGGAGGATAGATAATGATTGATCTCTGACTTGAAGTTAAGATTTAAGTGTTCAGGGAAGCATCCACATGGAAGTCTTTTGTGACGAATGCAAGCCAACATATAACACCCATCTCCTTCCCACACCATGACCTAAATCACACATGCGTAGGTGAAAGCTAAAAATAAATCCAGCAGCATCACGCGAAAGCAGCAACGCAATTGGTCGAGAGCAACCAATTAGCAAGCAGGAAATTAGGTGCCAAAAAGGAAGAGACACACGTGGTGACTCTAGAAAATTAGTAGCAGGCCAGCTGTTGATGAGTGAAGTCACATCAACTGCAAACTCCAAATAATAAGCTGAGACCACACGTTCCCCGAGGCAGAGAAACAAATCAGATTGTTCCAGTGCTGAGAATGTAAAAGGGTCTAATGCAGTAGGCCTTCACAACTCAAATATTGTCATCTCAAGGAGGAATCCTGAATTCAAACCCTGAGGTAGAAGACATGATCCAGATCGAGACCTAACCTCCAGTCATCAGAAAGAAATACATATCAAAAAGGACGCTTATCGAAATCGTCTGCTAAATCACAAAATATCAGATAAGTTCCTAAACCCCATCCCCGATATTATAATAGCTTGCAACAGTACAATAACATTATGTTCATGCAAACACCATTACATACGTAATATCAGATTATTAATATTATCCCATTACATATATTGAGTTCTGCATTCGTTATTGCTCATTGGATGCAATATTTCATGCCATCTGTTTATATGTTATTGTCATTTGTCCCATTTTTGTGTTATTAAAAATATTATATTTATTAACATCGATTGTTTCATTTGTCTTTGGTCTACGGTCGGTCGAATGTGTCATTTAGGGGATCCTAATTGAATTA